TTTTGTGCTGAGTCTCATAAATTCTCTGACAATTTTGCAAGACTGTGTGTAAATTCTGAGCCACAGAAGGAAGGAAGGAGAAGAAAGGAAAGCAATATGTGCCGTGACTGGATTCCTTATTCCATGGTATACTTTAAGTATGAATATTATGCATACACCCGATTTTAGAAATGGGTATTGGATTTTTACATGTATTTGATTAAAAACAAGATTAAAAAAAAAAAAAAGGAATTAAGTACATCAGGAAATTGTTGGAATAAGATGGAGTCTCCCTCATCAACTGTTTAGAATTTTACTGTCCCTCAGAGTGTTAGCAATCCTAGTTTAATTTAGTGCTGTTCACAGTTGAACTTCATGCTATTGATCATGGAAGTCAACTGATTTAATATTGTCCTTAAGAAGCTATGAAAATAAGGAAAACTACTTCTTATATGGTGACTATTATTGGCAATGTGCAGAGCCAGAATCATTGGATCGAGTTATTTTATGAACTTTGTGAATGGGACTGTGGAATATGATTGCTGTTACTGTTCATTAGTTCAGAAGAAAGGTGAGTGGGTAAGTTGCTAAATCCAGTGTTCTCCTCCCAGTCTAGCTCATAAATCTTCTGTGTAGGCAGCTATTCTTATAGGGGGGAAAAATGTAGTTAACTCTGTTTCAGATCAGAAACTCTTCTTGCAAATTTTATGCAAGATGACTTTGCAGTGATTGAAAACTGTAGGATTATCTCAAGACTTGTGAAAAATATAGTAGTATGCAAGGATATTGTAAAAATTAACAATTAATTGAAGGTCTGTTAGGGTAAGGCTGGCCAAAGGAATTAATGGCCAATAGAGTCTGTTTTCTTATGATCATCATTCTGTTACCACACAACGTTCTTTTTCAAATCAATAAATTACCTTTTAATGCAGTCTGCCATTCAAGATATAAGAAAGGATTGCAGGACTAGATTACTAAAAAGGAATGCTAGAAATTAGTAAAGCAGGTGTTTTTATAACAAATAATTTTAGATCATTTTTACCGTGTTTAGAAATACACAGTAGTTAACTCCAATTATCAAAATAATTCAATTTTTAACTACTGTATCTCTCCAATTTAGAGAGAAGGATGTTGTGGGTGACTGTGTTGAAGGCTTACAGAGGTCAAGATAAGTGAAATCAGTAACTCTTCCCTGGTCGAGTGATGTGGTCACTCCATCACAGAAGGCCACTAGGTTAGTCAGGCAAGATTTGCCCTTGGTGAAGTCTTGGTTGGTTGAGTTGCTTTGTTTGGCAAAACCAGCAGTTCAGCTTATAGAAGAGCCACTTCAGAGCACGAAAAATCCTGAAAGTCTCATAGTCTAGAAGACAGACGGAGCAAATTCTCAGAGTAAGCAGAATGTCTCTTGCCACTGTAGTCCTTGTGCAATCAGTGACCAGGAGACACTGAGATATACACCTAAGTGTAACGCGTAAGCACAAGGTGTCTATGTTTCTGTCCTTTGGTTGTGTATGTGTAAATTCATACATGCTTATTACAAGACACTCTGAACTATCAAAATTAAAACAGAATCACAGAATGGTCAGGATTGGAAGGGACCTCTGGAGATCGTAGCGTCCAACCCCCTCACAGACTGGGGTAATATGAAAATATAAAACACCAGTAATATGAAATACTTTCAAATTCATGTTTCATTAAATAATTCTATGCTATATGCAATGGCTTCCTCAAACTAATATATTTTATTGCATACCATGCACATACACCTAAATAACAGATTACAGTGTCATTTATATCTATAATTGCTTTCATATAGTGCCCAAATGTAACATTTAGTCTAGAGAATGCATATATTATCTGTTGCTGGAAACATGCATATAATAATGCTGGCTTCATTTAAATCAAAAGCAATTTTTCTGTTGATACTGGGGAGAGGGGTAGCATTTGGCCCATAGATTTTAGCATTTTAGATATGAGAGGCTCAACCATTGGTTATATGCTTGCTTAGTCTATGACTATTCAATATAATTTTTCTCCACTAGTTTAGGACTCTGTGGTACATTTCTAGGGACACCAGCTTTATCTCATAAGCCCCATTAAAGTTCATGGAATGAGTTACTGTCTCTTACTTCAAACCCCGTAGTGTAAGAAAACCAGAATAAATGGACAAGCAGTTGATGTCCTCCTGGCTGTCAACTGTTATTCTAAAATCTTGGACAGAGCGCCGCATTTTGAACAGTTACTGATGATCCAAACTCAATAATTTCTTACAGAACATAGAATAAAACATCAGTGCCTAAGTTAGGCAAAGAAGTAAACTCCCTCAGTAACCTTTCCTTCAGATTTTCTGAGAAGTGTATAGTCGTTTGTTTGAAGTAACTTTTCTGAATGAAATAACATTGTGAGTGGCCAAGCAATAGTTTTAAACCTGACTCTGAGAAGCACCTATATTGCAGTTTGCTCTCTCAAGCAATAAGGGTCCTCCTATCTTTCTCCAGGGAAGTGTAAGACAGAGCTCTCATTCTTTCCCCTCTACTCTCTCATCTCCCCCTAATGCTCCCGTGAAAATACCACCGTCCTGATCAAGGTTCAAAGCTTGTACTTCTGATGCATTTTTGAGCCTTCAGCTTTTGAAGTGCATCTTCAGGTCACATCCAATCTTTGTGATTCATATTTTGAAATCTCTCAGAAGATCTGGCCTTAAATATCCATCCACACAACTAAATCTCTTGCTCAAGCCTTGGTTATTTTACAGCTTGAGTAGTTCTTGCCTTTGCTAGGTCAGAGTTACCCAGCTGCGCTCACGTTGTGCTCATGGCAATTCCAGACACACCGGCTGTCCCACTTCTGCATACTCCCCTCTGTACCCTTCCCACATCCTTGCTGTTTCTCAGTACCCCATACAGCAAACATGAGGTTTCTTCCCGTTGGCATGTAAACCCATTTATATTTTAGCTTTGATTGGTCTTTTGATTCTACTGATTGGCCTTTTGGCTCTACTGCTTATCAAATGTTCATTCGTGTTTGTCACATCCAACCCAGCTAATAGTAGACTGGGAGTTGATTCATTTTAAGCGTTGAGAACCTCAAACATCGCCTTCTTCCCGTTCCACCTCAAAAGTCATCCTCCTCCTTTCTTCTCTTAGACAGCATCGTATGCGTATCTGGCATTAATTCTAGCTTGTGTATGAGTGTGTGTTGTGTGTATGAGGCTACGCATACACGCACCACCTACCTGATCCTGACTCTTACCCCTCGACTCCTCAACAACACACATAATACAGACAAAATATATAGTATTGAGTCCACTCGGGTTATGTATGCAAGTGGGCGTACAGGCATGTATTTGCACAAAGGAGGAAGCATTTGGTATTTCTCAGCAGATAGAGTTCAAGCTGTAGGGGAGAGAGGTGATTATGATGATGAAGTCTTATGATGATGATTAAGTTTTGTGATTAAAGCACTGCCAGATCTCTCACTGTCTGCCTGGCTCTCACATGGGTGTCTGGAAGAGAGAGCACGTTCCTAACTCAGAAGGTTGTTCTAAGGGTAAGTTGTTAGTAAGTGATTCAGATACTTCTGAGATGGAGGTTACAGAAACAAGTCATAAAGAGTGATTTTAAACAACGGTATGATCCTTCCCTCAAAAGGTAATATGGGTTCCTGCACGTGGAACCCAAAGAGGAATGGTCTGAGTAACACAGTTAAAACCAGAAAGTATTAGATACCGATTATCCCTGGTGCTGACTACATTGGCGTTCTGAAAGGCCCATGGAGCAGATATTTGGGGGAGTCTTTCTCTGGTGCGGCTTCACCTTGGTTTTTGTTCTGCTTATTTTGGTCGACTGTTGAGAAGACTTCAAGTTTCAGAGTAAAGGACAGTTTCTGTGTAATGACATAGGCACGATGATACCAGCAGCGTGTAACCACCCCACGTGACGGTGCTGTGAGGGGGGAGAGGTTAAGTGGCATCTGCTGCATGCCGGGTGGCGAGTGAGAGAAGAAGGGTCAGAGAGAGAGAAAGCAACCACACATACCCATCCCTGCCTGCGAGCAGGGGAAAGGCAAAGTGCTAAGCCACAGACTTGGAAAGTAAGAACTAGAGAACTGAAGAGCTGTTTCCTATTTTACAAGTAAACACCTCATGGGATTTTACCCCTGGCTGAAACATATTTGTATTTTTTTGATATTTTTGCTAGGCTGAAAAACCCCATGTTCCTGATCCTTTGTGAGCCAGGCTGTGATGCAGAGAAGTGCAGACTGACTGGCTGTGTGCTTTCATATATATTCCGTTTTCCTCTCTGCTGTAACCTGTGGCCTCAGCCCACTCAGCTGTGTTACGGAGTGGTTTCATCTCTGTGTAGAACAGCGATTTTTATTTTTTTTCAGGGCCCATAAACAGAAATAAAACTACTGCTGACTTTAGGCTTGGCTTTGTGGATGGCCTTATTTGGAGAATCAGAATTTCCAGTAGAGTGCAGATCTCAGGCCAGGTGCTGTAAGGTGAATTAATATGCAAAGGTTGTTTGAAATTGGATGAAGGAGGGAAGGACTAGAGTCTAGGGTGCCGGCTGCAGATTGGAAAAGAGAGTTTAAATTACTGTTTGTGAGTTAATGTAATCTCACTAGTTAACATTAAATATTCCATATTTAATATCTGAAAAAATACCATTAAAGGAAGTAATGGTGATTTAGTTGATAGATTGTCTCTGCTTTGTCTTCCGCTCTGTAATACGGTAACTTGTTTGGAAATCCAGATGGATATACACTTCTGTATATGTGAATTAATATATATATATGCACGTGTATACACACATATATAGTCATATACTTGGTGCTACAAATGTATGGCATATAGATTGAAAATTGTGGTGTGTCTGTATACATATGTGTAGGTATATAAACACATGACACATAGCTATATTCTGGCTACTGTACTAAATTTGGAAATGATCACCAATGATGATTTTCATGTCTCTAGTGCTTACACATTTAAGCAACTTCTTTTTTGATTTGTTTAGCAGCAGCAACAGAAGAACCTGAGGTGATTCCAGATCCAGCTAAGCAAACAGATCGAGTGGTGAAAATAGCAGGAATAAGTGCTGGAATTCTGGTATTCATCCTGCTTCTCCTTGTTGTCATATTGATCGTCAAAAAAAGGTAAGAAAATGATCTGTGCTGATCCCTCTTTTTCTTTTTTTTCCTCCGTTTCAAACAACAATAACCAAGTGGGTATTTTCTACAGGTCATTAAAAAAAAAAGTTTCAGGACCAGTAGCTCACATCAGCTTTTGGATGAGTTTTGTGTTTCCTGTTGTTTCGCTGTGATTTTTATGATGGATTTAAAGAGATGATTACTTTATATTTGGGATCCCATAGCTATACACTTTCTCATACGTACTTATTTCCAAGTAGTTTTAAATTGCAGTTAGAGTAATATGCAGAGTATTAAAATGGATGGAATTGAAATTCATGGAGCCTTTTTTTAAAGCAGAAAAAAAGAACAACTTACTGCACTTTTCATGTTGTAATCACCTAATGAATTTGATTTTCTATATGCAGCTCTAATGAGTTATTTGTATCTGTATGTTATCCAACTTGCAAAATAATGTAATTTTATACCTCTATTTATGCTCTTGTAAACCTGGAGTTTTTTCTTAAAAGTCATACCGTATCACTGTAAAATTATCTAGTGAGTCCTTAGTGCATGAAATTGTTTAAAAGTGTATTAATTTAAGTGAATTTTAATTTTGTTAGTGATTTCTTAGACAGTAAGCAATATCGCCATCTTCTGGCATTGTACAATGCTAACTCTGCATCCAAACGCTCTTACCTATAGTAAATTGTGGTATTTGCTCGGTCAGTTTTTAAAAGTCTGGACTTCCCAGTTGTTGCAACTCTTTTAGCCTGGCATAAAAGTTCATTATATGGCTCTATAAATTGGCAGTTATAGCATCGAAACCAATTCCTCTCTTTCTGCGACCCCCCTTCCTGGCAGGTCCCCTTCGCAGGGCACAAGCTGATTTCTCTTGGGTAGAATGAGACCTTTGTCTTCCAGTGGTGTGTGCATTGCATTCCCTTGCCTTTTGCAGAAGTCTTAATGAAAAGTGTATTTGTAAACGTTGCAAATGTTCCTCTGAAATACAGCTTGCTATTATTTTTAAAGATTAAGAAAAAAAATTAAAATTGTACCTAAGATCATTCTATATGTTATAATTACTGGTTTGCATTAGATTTTTTTAATTTATTGCCTCTTTACAATTATCCCTGGAGATATATAACTTGGAGAAGAAACGTCTGCATTAGAAACATTAGGTATGCTTATAGTGTTCTGTGTTAGTTAGCTACATATGTGATTTTTCCCAAAAGTGCTTTTACTTTTCTCTGTTGTTTACCTCTGTGGTTGAGAATTAACACGTATGCAAAAGGTCCAACTCATCATATGCAAAAAAGACATACAGTCAGCCAATTTTCTTTATTTACACAACTTCTGAAAAACAAACAAACAAAAAGTTGTTTTTCAGATTTCAAGAAGAATTCTCTATTTTATAGCTTTATTGCAAGGTATGTGCTGGGGAGTATCATCTTTTTAGTGAGTGTTGCTGTGGTTCCCTTATATTTAATAGAAGACTGTGTGTGTGTGAGAGAGAGAGACTGTCTGCCACTATATCATGTCAGTCACTTCCAGATGGGATTGACTAGTTTTGCAGGTAACAGGAAAAAAAAGGGGGGGCTTAAAATTCAATGTGTTCGTTTTTCCTATCCTTTTTACCTCTTGCATTCAGAGTCCTTTTAGACTCGTACTTTCACTGTTGAATTGTTTGATGAAAGTCAGTTAATTATGTCCGTGAAATGATATTTTAAAATTTCCCCTTTCCCCCGCTTCCCTTCTCTGAACCTGTGAAGGCAGTAGCCTCTTAGGAATGATACTTGATCATCATTCTAAAGCACATAACATTTCTAACCCCTGTACTATTTTGTATTCAAAATAGGTGAGAAATTAACCTGTTTAATGAATCTTTAATGTTTGGCAATTTTTCATCATGATAGTTTAATTGGTTGTCTATCGCGTGTGTTATAGGTGTGCCATTCCTCCCCCTCCCCCCTCCCCCCACCTTAGGGAAAGTGGGCAGGATTTTTTTAATACCAGCTTTAGTCAAGATCTCTTACAAAAAGCATAGAAAACCTTTGTATACCTGAGGTAATTCAGTCCATCTAGTGAACCAGGGCAATTCATATAATGAAGCCAAGAGCAGCTGTAAAAAACCCTGACACATTCACACATACAGAAACACACTTCACTTAGTTGTGGTGGGACTGAAAACGGATCCGTTTGAATCATCTTCTGTAGTGTACATATTCAGTGATCCATTATGTAGTATCCCTTTTGGTACCTGAATTGACCACAGCTTATTACATGGAAAAGTCAATTAAAAAATGGTTTCTGCATTTTCATTGGTTTATTAAGTCGTGCGCACAGCCATCGCTATCTCAATCTGATTAAATGCAGCATTACATTTTATTGAAAAACAGAGTACTAAGCAGTTTTGTTCACGAGCTTGAGATGTTTTAGGCTTTGCCTGATCATTTTGTACAAATTGGTTTGAAGTTTTCCCGAATGAAGCTCTTAACAGCTCTTACGGAGTTTTACTGGAGTAATCAAACCAGCTAAGAAAAGGGATACTGCATCTTTAACAAGCAATGCCATTTTTATTTTCTAAGTCATTGTTGGACTATTTCCAAATGTCCTTCATTTCCTTCCATTTGTTTACCTTCCATATTTTTAATGCTTAGCATGACTACATCAGCATTTCCAATTGTAAGATTTTAAAATAGAAAACATATGTTTGCATTCAGGACATGTGTGGTATATATGTCAGTACACACGTATCTGTTGTAAACGTGTATTCCTTAAAATGTGTGTACTCATATAGCTACATATAGTACGCATACAAACATATATGTATACACCTGTGTACTGATGAAGATGTTAAAATGAATGACGTTAAATTTGTTTTCTGATTAAATGTTTTTATTCATGCAATCTTTAGTTTTTGTAACTGAAAAGTAAAAAGCATATTTACTGCACAAGATTTGTACACAGCTGTTCATTTGTCATGACATCTAGGTGGTAATCATTATATTATGCTGAACTGCATGTTGAAAATACACAATCCATTTAATTTTCAAATTTTTTGGCAATAAATGAAATCTCAGCATGTAATTTTCTCAAGTGATCTTTCTAAAAAACAAATCATTTTTATATGCTAGTGTATTTTTTTTTAATTGCATGGCAAAGTAAGGCTAGTATGTGCATGAGCAAGTTGAAATGCTAACCAAAGAAACATTAATTTTTTAATTTTTTTTTTAAACGCACATTTCTCTGCTTTATTGAATGTGACAGAGTCACGCTTTTCATTCACCATTGCTTCTCTTTTTCCACTGTCTGTGATTTGCTTGCCAGGAGGAGCTACTATTCTTACTCCTACTATCTGTAAGTAGAATACGGGTGACTTACTATTTTACATGTTTTAAAGATGCAGTATCCCTTTTTAAAAAAGAAAAACAGTCTCTATAATTTTCCTGAAGTTTTATTGATAGTTACCTTTCTTTATTCTCAGGCTTGAAAAATTGCTTGGTTCATTGTTCCTGTTATTCTTACCCTTTTTTTTTTTTTAAAGGGATATTGTATTTCTAACTGTATATTGAGACTTCTGCTTTTTGCTACAGTTTTTCCCATAACTATCATTTTAGTTTATTGTAATCATAATTTAATTTGCATTATGATTCACAGCAACACATCACACTAAGGAAAAAACCTCTTCTCCTGTTTCCTAGCTAGAGAACTGTGCTTGTAAATCACAAATTGTTCTCTCTTAGTGTATCAGTTACCAGGAGTGATCCTATGCACCACTTTTCCTACACAGACTGTAGGCAGATGCCAGACCTTTATAATTAAGTCTGTGCCCTACTAACGGCACAGCACCATGCCTGCCTCTGTGGTACCAACCTTTTTTTTTTTTTTTTTTTTTTCTTCCCTTAACAGAAATATCTTTTGTGAAGTGGTCAGCATCTGTTGCTAGTAAGGTGCTTTGCATACACATTTTAAAGTGTGGATCTTGCTTTATGGCATTGGTTTGCATAAAGTTTTGCTTCATTGAAGCAAAGTCGACTTTTTTTTATACATGTGACCAAATGAATTTTTGTGAGGGCTGCAGCAGTTTTGGCTGTGATTGAGCAAAGCAGTTACAGACATTCTTAATTTTAAATACATGTATAAAGCTTTTGACTTCAAGGGGTTCTGAAAATGTAGTCAAGTGCGTTGACGAACTGGCAGTGTCTGATAATGATGCTCTTCCACATTTTTAAGCAGATTAGTTGACTTCTTTAAACAAACTTTTTTTTAAAAAAAAAGCTAAGCTGGCTTAGCTAACTGCCATTCTCTGGTTTATTGTGACAAATTATAATTTCCTTGTTAAATAACAATTGCTTCGGCTCGAGATAATTAACTGCACGGTTTCATCCTATGATGAACACCCACCTGCGCAGGTTCAGCCAACTGGATCCTTTAGCAGATAATGAGAATCATTTACACTTTCTGTCAGCCCCGAGTACTTTAACCTAACGATTTTCTTAAATCTCCTGAAGCGCAGATTGCATGTACCTTTAGCCTAGTGAGGGAAGGAAAAAAGGAAAGGAAAAAGAAGTCGTCAAACCCAAGGGAGCCAGGAGCTGTTGAACAATAAAGCTGTCCTCCCATTTCCCAGCAGCTTTGGGTTGTGGTGCTACAACACAATGGGCCTTTTTAGGAGTTGAAGCAGAGCATAAGAATTAGAAAGTAGCTACTGTAATAAGCTAATAACTTGAAAGCCTTAATAGCTGTTGATTTATTTAGCATAGCTAGCAAGTTTTGTTTGCTTCAAAGGGCTTAATATAGGCAAGAGATGACATGTAATAGTCTTTTTGTTCCATTTCTGAGGTGGTGTTAGAAAAAGGCAATCTTCAGTGTATGGTGACTATCTGAAAGGCTTTGAAACTTAAAAAAACAGTCTGAACTAGAAATGCCACTTTTATGTAAGCTTTGATAGTATTGGGAACCAGTTATAAAACTCAAGCAGTTTCACTTTTGGAAGTTCTGATGGTCTTCATTTGTGCAATCAGAGTATCATTTAAACCAACTTTTCTTAAATAAATCAGAATGTGTGGAGTAAATATATAAAATAAAGCATTTGCGGGGGGGAACATCCAACTGTCAGTGGCTTTTTAGTTTTCACTGAAGAACTGATACACACAGAACACCCATGTACACCACAAGGGTGTGATGAAAAAATGATAGAGATCACCCTTGGGATTTCTGCAGCGAGGGGGTTATTGAGTAGCAATTTTCCAACTAGCCTATTTGTAAATGGAGAAAAGAAAGGGAGGAACACAAAATAAGGAGATTAGTCTGATCAGTGAAAGAATCTTTATTATTGTTGGGAGTACTTTATCCATCTATATCCTGCTTTGTGGCCCCTTATTGAGAACCAAGACTATTAACTTAAGAAACAATCCTCTAACATTTCCTTAAATATGCAAAACCATGAAGTGCTTCCTGCCCCAGAGAGTGGTGTAGATCCTTTCTGGTGGATGTTCCCAGGACTTAACAAATAAATGGATGGATAATTTACACTAATATTCTTTTTCTCTACTGTTAGAGTGTGGCACAGAATATTAAAAGTTATCGAAGTATAGAGGAACAGCAAGCAGTCATTTTAGTCAGAGAAATGCAAGATAAACACTGTCTAAACAGTTAACAGGGTATTTGTTGATATTTTATGCAGAAAAAACTTGTGAAGCTAAGCTGTGTTTTAAATATACATTTTCAAGAACCCAGTATTTTTGTTGATGATTTTGTCTCTCCCACGTGGTGTCAGATTTATCCAAATAATCAGGTTGGCTATCTATCATATTGCAGTCACAGCTTCAGATGAAAATAAGGAGATTTCAGAACAGTCTAATGTATATCACAGGTTCCTGCAGCACTTGATGCTGCTCTGCATACTTTCTACTAGAGATATAAGCTTTAAGAGTAGTAGGCTTTAAGTGATAATTAAAATATATTGTCTGCTTCCATCTGACTTCTGGAGACAGTGAAAATGACTTCCAGTTCTTCATCAAAAGGAAGGAATTGAGAGATATTTCTGAAGTGTGCATTTAGAAGGCATTGGCTGTTAATTTGGGAGGTTTAGTTGTACAAATTAGGTTGCTGTTTAACTGTGATACAGGCAGAGTATAAGACTGTTAATGTCAAAATTTAAGATGTTCCCAAACTTCATGAAAAGGTAAAGTGGTGAAGGGGGTTTTGTTTGCTTTTTAAAGAACCAAAGTTCAGTGTCAGGAGCAAAGTATGGCGTCATGTTGTATCTTGTGTGTACCGAATGGGAAGAACAACTTTTAGCATAAAAGGTAATATGAACCTATATCAAATAATTATGTTTCTTTTGTTATTTCATAGGTTTTTTTGACTAACAAAGTAATTTAGAAGGTTAAATGATTTCTTCCTAACAAGACAAGCAAGGGGAATGAATTATCCATTTATAAAATCAAAACACAGATTTAAATGGAGATGGTTGATAAAACTGCACGCACAGATGCTTCTTATTTATCATTTCAGTTAAAATGTAATTATATTCCCTAATTTGTTTATATTAGTGTAATTACTCCACAGGAAAAAAAAAATATTACCAGGGTACAGAAGTTAGCACTTCCATTACAGCATTTGTGTGTGTATAGAAAACACAGGGTCGTGACTCTTTCATAGCAGGGTGCGTAGTTTTATCAATTTCACGCTGGAAAAGTGAACACAGGAAAATCAGCCAAACTTTTAAACCACTCGGGTTTATAGATAATGATTACTGTAGACATCAATGTTCATCAAATATTAAGGTGGCTTGGGTTTTTTTTTTTGGCTGGGCAGCAAACTTGCAAAGAAGCGCAAGGATGCCATGGGGACCACCCGCCAGGAGATGACACACATGGTGAATGCGATGGATAGGAGTTACGCTGACCAGAGCACCCTGCATGCCGAGGATCCCCTTTCAATCACATTTATGGACTCTCATAACTTCAGCCCCAGATGTAAGTACGACAGTGACAGATACTACTGAGTGTAGGTGCATATAGAAACGTGGAAAACAATTCTACTTTTTAAGGAAAAGTGTTGTAAGCTCCAGGTTTTCTAGAAACACTGGTAAACCCAAAGGTTGAGTAGGCATGTTTGTAAGTTATCCTTGTTGGTGTATGGCCAATTATTTTAAGATTTACAGGTACTTTCAGAATGTGTTAATACTTGTTCTAGGGAAAATATTATACTTCTAGAGTATCTCAATTAAAATCCGAAATTGAGTTTTCCCTCATGAGGATATTTAATACCAACATGTTAAATATTACTGTGTAGCACCATGTCTGTAATGAATAATAATATGAGGTCCAAATTAATTTCTTTCCTTTGGCAGTAAGGATGTTATAACAGAAGGAAACTGGCAATTTTCGTTGTTGGTTATGAAGTTTAGGAACAAGCTTGTTAATATATCTGCAAATTTGCTCTGTATTTATATTCCTTTTTTGTAGACTTGTCAACTCTCTGGTTTTGACAAAGTTTGGCAGTTTGGGTTTCTGACTGTTACGTGTCTGGGTTATAGCTACCACAGTCCAGCATGCCTGCCTCCCAGCATAGAATCATAGAATCATAGAATGGTTTAGGTTGGAAAGGACCTTGGAGATCATCGAGCTCCAACCCCCCTGCCATGGGCAGGGACACCTCCCACTAGACCAGGTTGCCCAAGGCCACGTCCAGCCTGGCCTTGAACACCTCCAGCATCTGTGCTCTCTTGCACAAAAGCAAGATGCTCCACTGGCAGATTCTGAATACCTCAAAACTAGTGTTCAAGTTAGCGAAGGGGCACACTTCTGCCATGGAGCTGGCAGGAACCTGACCTTCTCACGGCCACACGGACTTGTGGCTTGGCTTTAAACAGATCTGAGCAGCCTGAGCTGCTTCCGAATTGCCATCTTTTGGGAATGGCACTTCATCTCCCTCCTCCTACCTCCCATACAGCTTACCATGCTTCAGCAAAATACATCCCTGAAGGCTGTTAAGTTCCTGACTGTTACAAGGGAAATGGATTTTGGAGGAGGGTTTATTGCTCAGTTTATTGAGGCTTACCAAACTGCAGAGTGCTAACTTTTCAAGTGTCTCGTAACCGATTATAAATGGGAGTTTAGTATCAGCCTGTGAGTTTTTGTGCACAGTTTTGGCTGGAACTGCTTGAAAATTCTCCAAAGTTTGATGTCTTATTGGCACTGAAATTTGTGGAGGCAGGTTTGCAAAGACAGTTCGATTTGGACTAAGTTGTGGTGGATCCCAGGCAAAGTATCCATCAGGAACCTATTAGTGGGCCAGGGCTACCAGGCACTTGGGCAGCCTTCCAGATGGACTACAGTGACGCCAGGAGCCCGTGAGCCCCAGCCACCACAGCTGTCCTAGTTGGTTGGCAAAGAAATTTGGCATCACTGTTTTCCAGCGTCTGAGGTATGTGATTTTTGGGGTGTTAGAAGATTCAGTTCTCCTGACCATCATCTGTGCTGAGGCAAAGAACCTTCCAAGCTTCCAGGGTTTCCTGCTATGTGACAAACTTTAGGCAGATTTCTTGAGAACTGGAGCTCGATTTTGTCACAGAGCTGTTGATATTTTAAACTTTTGTTCCAGGTTGGAACAAACCCAAATTCTGGATTCCGCCATTTCTGTCTGAGAGCATTTTTCTCTGAACATTTTTCTCTGTTTTAGTTGTGATAATGTATGATAAAATTCTATGAATTTTATTCAGACATCTATGTCTGTGTATCTGTGATTTTCCTGTACTCATTAAGAGCAATATCTTTGGCATTGCACATAAAAAAAAAAGCTATTCACTGTAAATATGTATATAATTTTTTTAATTACTTGGAAGACTTTAACAAAATACCATTTTGTTTTGAGATGAGCTATTCAAGTATTACATGAGAGGATGGGTTTAAAAAGAAAGGAGTTGGTTCTGAGAAAGTGAGCCTTTATTGTGAAGCAAAAGAACAATAGTGAAGGAGGAGCCCTTTCAAAAACTAAATTGCATGTAATGTCTTCTTTATTTCATTTCAGTAGGAATCTCTTTGCCTTTATAATTACATTTCTGAAGTCCAAAACACTGCCTTTCATTCCTCTTTTATTCAGGATGCTTTCTGGAACTGTCTATTCATTCTGTTTTTCTGTTGTAACAAAATTAATGGGGTTTAGTTATCACTTGGTTATACTCTGAAGTACACTGTTTTTATTCTTAAAAATACACAAATTGAGGGTGATGTATTTCTTCATGAGCTTTGTTTTTCTACAGTGCCCAATGATCCACTTGTGCCGACAGCTGTGTTAGGTGAGGACCCTAGTCCTTCATTATTCATTCCTGCATGAGTTTTGTCTCCTTGCATGGTTGAACTTAGGAACAGCTTGTTTTATGTGAAAGATAGCTATGCTGTTATCAGAAAATAGCTCTACACTCAGTTTATCAATTCAGAATTAAACTGACACTGCTTCTAGAATAAAAATTATTTTA